ACACACACACACACACACACACACACACACACGCATACATGTGGAGCTGCCATTGTTCCCTTTTTGATGGACTGTTTCTCTGGTTTACTCCAACAGACGTCGTGGATCGAGAAATTGAAAGGCGTGAAAAGAGCCGAGAAGGTGAGTTCTTTCTGTATAATGATGAAATAACAACTTTCTTTGAATGAACTTTTTGTTTCGTAGCATGTAGTACTTTTATTGTTTTCCGTTGACATCAAATATCAGACTTGTTACTGACTCTATTTTATTTGTTTGATTAACAAAAATCTTCTCCCACTGATAACAGGTGGAGGTGGTGTTTTGAGAAAAGGGGAAATTTAATGATAACATTTCTCTTTCAGATCTATATTTGTATCCACGTACCCATGTATTAGAAGTAATGTTTATATTTCAAGTACTTTTTTGTGAAATTAGAAAATAATATACATTTGTGTGTTCTGAAGTTGAAAGCTTTTTGTACATATTTATATATTCTCCTGTGTTAACACTTTTTGGGGGATAAATCTTTGAGGTCTGTAGCGTGGGTTTGAATGTCTGAATTTATTATATCCGTTGGATCAGACTTTCTCTTGATTTCGGTATGAGAAGGGCTCAAGGTGGAAATATTCCAGAAGTTTGAATGCCTTTTGGAAATTGACTAGTAGTTGTAGCTACTTTGAATTTGATAATTCTTGTATAGTTGAACATAATGTAGCCACCTCTGACATTAGTGTAAAATTAAAATCTCCGATGATTCCTCATAATATTATTTATTGATACTGTATTTCCAATATTTACTCATTTATATATATATATTATATAGATCGGCGTCTATGGTGTATTTCTCCCTATGTATGGAGGCGTTTAGAGCACTATAGGTCTCATTGTGTAGTCACTGTAGGAATGTTTGCTTTATATCTAGTTTAAGGGAGGAATGGTTCATGTTTTGTTTCATGTTTCTATGTTTTATCCTTGTGTCAGACTCGAATGGTGAGTGCGACCATTGAGTGAAGTACACAGTCTCTCACGCGCTCTCTTTGCAAGATTTAACTCACACTTTGATATATACTCACAGACGCGTAAACACACACACACACTCCCATCCACCCACACTCCTATCCACCACCCCCCCGCACACACACACACACACGCGCGCACACACGCGCGCACACATACACACACACACACTCACACACACACACACACGCACCCACACACACA